GATTATAAGGCTCACTGGATTATAAGGCTCACTGGATTATAAAACTCACTGGATTATAAGGCTCACTGGATTATAAGGCTCACTGGATTATAAGACTCACTGGATTATAAGGCTCACTAGATTATAAGGCTCACTGGATTATATATTATATACTGGATTTTTGAGAAAAATTAAAGGATTTTAACTGCACCTTATAGTCCGAAGAATACGGTATTTTATTTTTGTTATTTTGACTCAAACGCAAATTATTTATTAAACTAAACAATAAGGGTGCAGCGATAAATCGGTGTGGCGATTTATTGGTGCACCCCTACTAAAGAACATAGTGATGATTCATCAAAACAACTCCAATAGACTGAAATTACTACATCTGGGGCAGCTAAACATTTGGTACTTTGGTCAATATTGTCTGTAAATGAGAAACAGGAAACAGACAAAAAAAAAAAGTCCCAGGTTTGGGTGCAGCTGCACTGCTGTACGACTGAACTTTAGGGTCACGCTAATAATAATAAAAAAAATTACATTGCCACGCTAAGAAAACAAAAAAATTAAAAGCCATAAAATTACGAGAATAAAGTCGTACAATACTTTTTTTTTTTACAGCTCTCATTTATTTTTTCCACAAGTCGAATCCACGACGCGACCTGTCAATCAATCCAGTAGGCGTGTCAGCAAATGACCAATCCGATGCGAAATGAGTCGTAATATTATCTGAACTTGGACACGATAAAGCAGAGTTTACCGCATTTTAACTGTGGTAAAATGAAGAATGTTGAGCATCTTGTGAATTTATACTTTGGTACTGGTTTTACAGATAAGGATATAGTTAATCTGTGAGCACATCAGCATCAGATTATTATCAGTATCAGGACTTTGAACCTGCTCACAGTAAGGTGGTACGCTCTGATGGGCTGCAGCAGCTATTTTACTAGCGTGGCCCTAAAGCTCAGTCGTACTGCGGTGATAATCCGAGTGTATTGTTACCCTGTTACTCCCGACTGTAGCAAACACCAGAGGGTCTCCTTCCTTGCTGTGCCAGTTAAACTGGACCCCAAACAGCGGCTGTCCGTGGTCCTCCTAACAAACAACAACACATCATCATCAGGATGGACTCATCTCCGTCTACGCCGCTGAGAGGACTTCAGGACCGTGGACGCCCTCACCCTCAGGCTGTTGACACATTTAAAAGAATATCTGCACTTCTTGGACTTCCACTTGCCCTTGCCCCAGCTCTTCCTGCCGGGGGCGTTGGCCGTGTTCGTGGGGGTGTCAGGGCGTTCAGTGTTGTTCCCACTTTCAACGCTGACAGCATCATCCTACAAAATCCAACAAGATGCAGGCGGTCGATACCAAAACGCAAAACCATTTTTTGTAACTGGGTAAATATTGTGTACACACATCTTTAACATGATAGTTTTTAAAACAAGCTCTAATAGATCAGGCCTCTTTTTTTTGTTTATGTACAGATAAAAACATATAGCTGCAAAACCTTTGACGTATATTTAACATGTATTTATGGCTTTGATTTAGGATTTCATATCCTCGACATTCTTCTTTTATAGAAACTGTCACGTGTTTTTAGGTAAAACTCTGTTTACATTAGAAGCTCCTCTTGCTGAAGCTAAATCAGTGAAAACCAGGATTGATTTGAGCTTACAGCAAATATAAAGGTACAGATGTCTTTGTGTGGAATATTGTTAATAAACTTATTAAGAGTCGGTAACTTAAATCACACAGGCTTGCAGGTGGACAATGATGCTAGCTAACTGCTTTAGCATGGCGCTAACCGGTTAAAGTGTTAATTTAATATAATAAAAACAACATTAAAGTGCTTACATTCTCGTCCCCTGATAAATCGGGGTTACTGTTCTCGTCACTGCTTAGTTTTTGTTTTTTAGCCGGTATTTCCTTTCCCGCTTCGGATAGGCTTTTATTGTCCCTCATTTTAACTTAGCCGCTAGTTAAAAATAAATGCTAACCCGCCTCTTGTTCTTCTTCTTCTTCTCAGTTCAGGTAGACGCGACGCGACCTCTGCGCTCTGCTGCCACCTGCTGTTCAGTCAGTGAAGGGACCTGTTTAACATAAACAAATTAAATTACTCTGAAAGTATTCACTGAATGAACATTTACAACTGATTACATTTTTAGTTCAACAATTTTAGAGATGCTCACCATGCTAATCGACTTTAGAAAATGAACACACAAAAAAGCTCTAAATTACTCTAAATTACTACTGTTAATATTCAAACTACTGTTCATATTCATATTCAAACTACTGTTTATATTCATATTATTGTTCATATTCATACTACTGTTCATATTCATACCACTGTTCATATTCATACTACTGTTTATATTCATATTATTGTTCATATTCATACCACTGTTCATATTCATACTACTGTTTATACTCATACTACTGTTTATACTCGTACTACTGTTTACATTTGCACTACTGTTTATACTCACACTGCTGCTTATATTACACTACCGCTGATATACAAATATATTTTTTTACTAGTCTTATTGCATATGTCACTTTACCTACACCAATATCAAGGATTTCGTACATACACCGTGTACATTCACTTCATATGCTGCTTTGCCACTCACTACAAATATCAATGTCAGGACCTTCATTTTATTTTATAGATATACTTTTTTTTAAATATTTTTATACCGTATAGTACAATTTCAGACAGTATCATGCTTTTATTATTTCATTTTATGCTTATGTTTAATAAATGTTTTAATGTTAAATGGTTATTGTTGCACCGGGGTCTGAGAGTAATGTAATTTCAATCCTGTGTATGTCCTGTACATATTGCAGCTTTTGACAATAAAGTGACTTTGAAATTAAAATATAATACAACTTTATTTATAAAGCACCTTAAAAACAACCCCATTGGCCAAAGTGCTGTACATTGTCAACACCTAAAAGCAAGCACAAAAAAATATAAAACCAATTGAAACTGTAAATGAAATGAACTCTTGTAAATTTTCTGCTTTTGAATACAGACAAGACGTTTGGTTTTTGGACCTGAGCATCTTAGGAATAAATATTTCAGTCTTTCGCCCTCCTTGGGTGTCATTAATCTGGCCTCCAGTTCTAATGTTAAAAATCTTGTTGTTTTATATCATGTCTTTTCCAACTTCCAGTTTCTGTCCATGGCTGACACATTGTCAAGTTAAGACTGGGCTTAAGACTTTTCTTTTTGATAAATCCAGTGGTCTACACGATACGCGGCCATACAGAGTATACCCGCTAGAAAATAATTGTATACGCACTTTTAAGTGGGTATACAATTATTTTCACGTTTTTAATACAAAGCCAACTGTTGTACTGGACATTTATTCGAACAGAAGCATCAGAGAAATTTGGAAATGTTCATTATGCTTAAAAATAATCTAAATAAATTAACGATTACATTGTACTAACTAGTGTACTTTGGTTTCTAAGCACAATATACCCACTACAAAAATGTAGACTACACCACTGGATAAATCCTATAGTTAGTGTTGGCTTGTTATAGACTTATAGACTACTGGAGGACAAATTGACCTCATTTCCTTAAATTGTTAAAATTTTATATTTTCATTTGATACTATTTCTATCAATATGTGATTCTTGACCTGCCATTGTGTATCTGTTCCTCTCGAACCCAGCCGGTCAAAGCAATGGCCACTTGTCCTGAGCCTGGTTCTGCTAAAGGTTTCTTCCTCATAAGAGTTTTTCCTTTCCACTGTCACCTACATGCTTGCTCAAGATGAGAGTTCTGTGATGGCGTTAAACTCAAAGCAGTTAACTTATTTTTATGTATGAAGGTTTCTGTTCGGCGCCGATGACTTCTGTTGTCACTTGGCGCTGTATAAATAAACTGAATTGAATTTTGTAACAATAAAAATAAACAAAAACGTCAATATCACAGGTATTGAGCTCAAAATTTGCGTGGTAGTAGCCGAGTCATCCTCGTCACGTGTTGCGAGAGCTAACAAATTGTCCTCAACTGCTGGAGTCAGCTGTGTGTTAGCATGAAACTCGGAAATTAATTTCTGAATGTATACGGGTAATTACTGATCAGCTTTTGGGGTCAATACAATTCAAAATGGCTACCACAGCTAAATGATCTTAGAAACAAAAAATGGCTACAACATATTCATTTTACGAATATGGACTCCTAATTTGGTGTGGTTGTATCTGAGTTATCTAAAGTGGTGGTACCCAACCCTAGTCCTTGAGGAACACCATCCTGCATGCTTTAGTTGTTTCCCTGCTCCCACACACCTGATGCAGTGATTTAATTACTTCCTCGTGTTCCGAAGAAGCCGGTTAATCGCCCGTTAATGAAGAGCAGGTGTGTTGGAGCAGAGAAACAACTAAAATAAGCAAGGTGTTCCTCAAGGACCAGATTTGGGAACCCTTGAAAAGCGCCATCTGATCCACCAAGGGCTGTGTAAAACTTGCACAAAAGGCGGGTGGTGGTATGGATTCCTTTAAGAAACACTAGTTTCAATTGAAGTTTTGATTTGGGTAACCGTCCCAACTTCTGTCAAACTCAAAGAATTAACGTAGTTGTGGACTTCAACTTTGATCTTCCTTCACATAAAAAAAAAAATAATTTTGATCTTTTAAAGACACTTGTGACCGTTTTAGCCACAAATTGATCTCCAGTCAACTTCAATTCACGCGTTTATCTCTAATAAATGACAATTATTAGGAAAAACAAAGTTACCAGCTCCTGTTCCAGTTTGTTTAAACTTCAACTACAGATTTAAAAAAAAAGTTACGTGAAAGAATTAAATCGGAGAATTCAAGACAAAAACAACAGATTTATGCAGGTTTACAAATACATTTATTTTAAAAAAATCAGACTAGAACTTTAATATATATATAAAAAAAACACTGTTCGATGTCTTCAGGACTACAGGATCATGTCTGCGTCGTCCAAAGAAGCCTCGCTCATCTCCTCAGACAACCCTTCATCCTCCTCCTCCTCCTCAGCAGACCTCTTCACGCCTCTCTGCTTCGCGAGCGCCGCGGCGTAGCGGATGTTGTACATGTTGAAGTCACAGCTGCGAAGAAAACACAAGTGTATCCATTTCCTGTGGAACACAAAGTTTCTGAACAGCTAAACCTTTAAATAAACTAAGGTTTTCGAGGAAAGTTCATTTTTATCGCCCGCTGCAGAAAGGCAAAGGCAGAAGATAATGTTTCCGTCTGTCTGTTAGCAAAATGTGTCAAGTTTCAATTTGAGGGTTTGAGTGAAACTTTCTGGGGCGAAAAAAATTGGATGTACGTCTGCAAATGATTAACTTTTAGATCCAAGATGTCCGCCGCAGCCGACCGTATTTACAAAAACGGCTTTAATTCAGTCACTTTTTCAGACGGTTTAAAACTTGGTGTGGTAGTAGCCGAGAGTCATCCCCAATACAAACAACGCTTATATCACGTTACTTTTAACATTTTGTTAATCGTAGGATGATTTTATCTTAAAAATCAGGCAAGAAAGTTGGCAGGTGATACACATCCCTTCAAAATAAAACTAGTCTTTTATTGTATGAATGTTTATGAAGCATTCACATTGTTGTGATCCTTTTCTTCCCGTACATTTTTCAGCATCTTTCTCGTTTCACAGTTTTTGAAAACATTCATCTCTTTCAGAAAGATGCTGTGACATTTGGTATTGGTGCAACTTTAGCGTTTTTGAAATATTTAGCATTTTCTGCCATTTTTTTCCTCACAGAAAATGAATTGAGCTCATTTTACAACCTTCAAATCTTTAGATCTATTTACAACCTTTTACTGCTCCTTTCACATTTTGTTCTGCTTCAGCTTCCTTCTGCAAATTTAAACTTTTATTTCAGCTAACTTCAGCTGTTTTGTGCTCCTTTTAGATTCTTTCTGATATCTACTATTATATTTTGTGCTGCTTGTAACTTCTTTCTGATAACTTCAGCTTGTTATGCTCCATTCAGCTAATTTCTGCAAAAATGCAGATTTTTCTGCTATTTCAGCTACTATTTAACTGTTTTTATGCTAATTTAAGCTTTTTTAGTTAATTGCATATTTTTTTGCACTCATTTCCAACTTTTTTCAGCCTAATTCAGCAAAAATGTGCTTTGTCCACATCTTTCCTGTAATTCCAGCTTCTTTCTGCTTTTTAGCTACTTTTCAGCCATTTTTGCCAATTTCAGTTTTTTTAAGACAATTTCCACTTTTGTGCTCATTTCTGCTTCTTTCAGCAAACATGTTAGCTCTGCTTTCTTTGGCTAATTTAAGATGGTTCGACCTTTTCAGCTACCTTTAAAGCTCACTTTAGCTGTTTTCAGTTAAATTAAAGTTTTTCGTGGTAATCTCTGCTACTTTCGGCCTAATTAACTTCTTTCTGCCATTTTCAGCTTGTTATGCTCCTTTCATCTTATTTATGCTAGTTTGTTATTTCCGCTACTATTTAGCTGTTTGATACTAATTTTAGCTTTTTCAGCTAATTTAACTTTTTTTTGGCGCTAATTTCAACTTCTTTCAACCTAATTCAGCAAAATCATGCTCTCTCCACTTCATTCTGGTAATTTAAGCTACTTTCTGCATTTTCAGTTTTTTCAATGCTAACTTCAGCTGTTTTTAAGCTGATTTACAGAATTTGTGTGCTAATTTCTGCTTATTTAAACCTAATTCGGCAAATATGCATTCTTTCTGCTGCTAATTTAGGCTTGTTCTTCCATTTCAGCTACATTTCAGAAAGTTTTAAGCTAATTTTAGTTGTTTTTCAGCAAGTTCTTCAGCAATAATGATTCACACTGCATTTTCAGAAGAAATGCAATTTCTCTAGTTTCAGCTTGTTATGCTCCTTTCAGCTTATTTCTGCAAGTTTAAACCTTTTCTATTTCAGATACCATTCAGCTGTTTTATGCTAATTTTAGATTTTTCGGATAATTCCACATTTTCTGCACTCATTTAATCTTTATTTCAGCCTAATTTAGCAAACATATGCTCTCTCCACTTGCTCCTGGTAATTTAAGCCACTTTCTACTTTTCAGCTGTTTTACGCCAATTTCAGCCTTTTCAGCTAATTTCCACTTTTTTGTTCTCATTTATGCTTCTTTCAACCTAACTGGCCAAACATGTTCTTTCTGCTTTATTCTGCTAATTTAAGCTTGTTCTACCTTTACTTTGAGCATTTTGTAAAACTAATTTCAGCTGTTTTCAGATAAATTTAAGTTTTTCATGTTAATTTCTGCTACTTTCAGCCTAATTCACTATTTAAGCTAATTTCAGCTTGGTATGCTCCTTTCAGCTTTTGTCAGCAAGTTTCAGCTTTTTTGGCTTCTTTAGCTACCATTTAGCTCTTTTAATGCTAATTTTAGCTTTTTCAGCTACTTCCACATTTTCTGAGCTGATTTCAGCTCTTTCCATTTCCATCTGTAGTTTAAGCTTTTTTCTGCCTTTTTAGCCATTTTATGCTAATTTCAGCTTCTTTTTTTTAGCTTATTTCTTAATTTGTGCTAACTTCTGATTATTTAAACCTAATTCAGCAAATATGTGTCCTTTCTGCTTTCTCCTGTATATTTAGGTTTGTTCTTTTATTTTAGCTACATTTCAGAATGATCTTTAGCTAATTTCAGCTGTTTCTCAGCAAGTTCTTCTGCAATAGGCATTCACACTGCGTTTTCGCAGGAAATGCAATTTCTCTAGTTTGGTTTGTTGTTATAAATGTGTTGGGGTGTGAAACTGTTGCGACGTACAGTTTGGACAGATTGTCAAAGTGTCTCTGGATGCTCTTCTGCAGCGCCTGCAGGGTAGGCAGGATGGACCCGGACCTGCAAACCCAAAACAAACACCAGTACCAGACAATCAGAACCAGAACGTTTCTGTAAATGTAGGGCAGCCTTTGCGTCGTCACCTTCTCTTCAGCTCCTGCCCGTGCAGCATGAGCAAGTTCTGAGCCCAGGTCATGTAGAACTGCAGGTGACCAGACTTCTCCAAGCACGCCGCCACGAAGCCCAGCAGCTTTTCCACGTAAATGTCGGGCAGAGACCCGCAAACTACCGGGACTGGAACACAAACGCCGACTCGTCACGTTTTGAAGGTCACAAACTTCATGGCCAGTTTAAAAGCCCACTCACTCTGATTGTGAGGCACGGTTTCCAGGACTTCCTGTTTCAGAGCGTTTTCGTTGAGTCTGAACGCCAGCACGATGGCCGACGCCCAGTCCTTGAGGCGCAGCTGCTTGCGGATGCTAGCCGGCGTCACGTCCAGGTCCAGATCGTACGGGTCGAAGACCATAGAGCCGTCGAGGGAGTAGATCAGCAGGCCCTCAGTGGTGGTGGCAGCCCAGCTACGACCTGAGGGGTGGAACCACTTTCATAACTTAAAAGGACAACACTGTTTACGGTAATATTTTGTGACTTGACGGCTGATTAATTATGCAGAGGTTTTATAAATATTTGTCATCGGTCGCAGCTGAATATACAGGTTGAATAAAAAGCAGGCAAATCTACGGGCAGCTTCTGTGGTTATTGTGTGAATAAACATTCACACTATTGTGATCCATTTTCTTCCGTACCTTTTTCAACAACTTTCTCGTTCACAAATGTTGTGCCATTTCAACAAATCATAAATCAAAATGCTCAACTCTTTCAGGACAAACCTGCTATGACTTTTGGTATTGGTGCAACTTTAGCTTTTTGAAATATTTAGCCTTTTCTGACACTTTTCCCCTCATAGAAAATGAATTGAGCTCATTTTACTTCCTTGAAATCTTTAGATCTGTTTACAACCTTTTACTGCTCCTTTCACATTTTGTTCTGCTTCAGCTGCTTTGTAGAAATTTAAACTTATTTCAGCTACTTTCAGCTGTTTGTTCAGCTGTTTTGTGCTCCTTTCAAGAACTTTCTGCCAACTACAACATTTTTGTGCTTCTAACTTCTTTTTGCTAATTTCAGCTTATTGTGCTCCTTTCAGTTCATTTCTGCAAGTATCAGCTTTTTCAGCTATTTCAACTATAATTTAGCTGTTTTAAGAAAAGTTTAGCTTTTTCCGCTAATTCCACGTTTTGCACTCATTTCAACTTTTTCAGCCTAATTCAGCAAAAATGTGCTCCCTCCAATTCTTTGTGGTAATTTAAGCTCGTTTCAGCTTTTATCGCTTCTTTTCAACTATTTTTGCAAATTTCAGATAATTTCCACTGATTTGGGCTCATTTCTGCTTCTTTCTGCCCAATTGGGCAAACGGTCTCTTTCTGCTTTCTTTTGCTAATTTAAGCTTGTTCTACCTTTTCAGCTAAGTTTTTTTTTAAGCATTTTTAGCTAATTGCAGCTGTTTTCTGCAACTTTCAGCCTAACTAATTTCTTTGCGCTAATTTTAGCTTCTTATGCTCCTTTCAGCTTTTTTTCTGCTAGTTTTAGCTTTTTCTGCTAGTTCAGCTACTTTGTAGCAGATTTTATTCTAGTTTCAGCTTTTTCAGCTAATTCCACATTTTTAAAGCTCATTTCAGCTTTTT